CTGTTCTTTGGTCAAAATATAACATGAATCAAGCACCAGAGGAGATTTGTGACCCTGTAGAAATCAGCTCTCTCAGAACGCTCCGTTTTGGTGTGTGTGTCTCTTTAAATCAGTGGTTCTCAAACTATGGTAGACACAGGATCCCTGTGGTGGTACGCACAAAGAAATCTCCTCAAATAAAAAAACACCCGTTCAGCATAAAACAACATTTTATTTTGATCATACTCTTATTTTATCTGTCTTGTATCTATTGAGTTGTATTTATATCAAATGTGTTTTCCCTCTAAATTGAATCTAGTTTTTGCAACAAACAACTTTAATCTGCTCAATTTATGCTCGAACGTACACAAACATAAACAACACAGGAGTACGCCTCACGTTTAGAAAAGTTCAGTACTGTTTAGTACTGAAACATCAGCAAGCAGCTGTAGGCTACATAAACAATATTCTGTTATTTATTGGAGTTCAGCACAGAATCGGCAGCAAGCAGCTGTACATTAACATTTTTAAAACGGAGCCAGGAGAAACTTCAGTTTTGATGCATGTACGGACAGTGGAACTTATCGCTCCTCCCTCTCCTCTCCTCTCTCTCTCTCTCTCTCTCTCTCTCTCTTCTTCTCTCTCTCTCTCTCTCTCTTGCTCTGAAGCTGATGTGATTCTGCTCTCTTGTGCTGTCTTAACACTCCGCAGGATTCAAGAGGGATTTTTTTTGGCAATTTGCCTATGTTGAACACAGAGCCTTATAATACAGCGGTTCTGGTTGCACGGAAAGGTATCCTTAAATGACTTCTTTTCTCTGATTTCCGACTCTATCCACTATCCTATCTCTACAATAAAGGCACAAAAAGCCCAAAAATGAATCTTAAAAAAAAAAACCTTCAGAGGGGGGCGGGCCGCCCCCCTAATATAATGGTAGGGGAAACACTGCTCAGGTTACCCAAATAAATGTCCACAAATACTGTCAAAGTTGATTTTTCACAATATGTCCCTTTAACATATATGAAGCAATGGTCACTGCATGTGTTCTTGTTAGTAATAAAAGAAGGAAATAGCACAAAGACCTTCAGTGAGTGCAGTGGATGTTTACCGCGGCTTTTTTGCTTCTCTGAGCTGTTCTGCAGCTAAACTTTGATAAAATATGATTTTTAAAGCAGAAATGTGTCCGTTGATGATATTAACTGAATGTACGCTCAGTGTCCAGTTTATTTGTTCCACTAATATGAATTATAAACAACTTCTTACAAACTGAGCAGTTAAAAATACTCACTAGTAACTAATTAAGGGTTATTGATTCAGGTTAGTGCAAGTGGAATTTTTTTCTAAAGCTGGTTTGAACAAACTTTTTACAAGTGCAACAAGACTAATTAAATGTTCTTGTTTATGATTTGTTCAGAAAATGTGAAATTCACAGAGGTAAGTTTTGCACACGAGGTCGTATCACATCACAGACTTTGAGAACGATGATTAAAACACATGTGGAGTCTCAGAGACCCAGAAACAGATTTCTGTTCTGACAACCCAAACAAGTCAACCCTTCAAAATCATGTTTATAAACCATTCTAATAAATTAACTTGAGGGCTTTGAGGTCACCATCACCCCATACTGACGTTCATTTATTTACCTACAGTTGATTAACTGTGGTCTGACCTGCAAGAGGCTTTTTAAGTGCTCCTCAGTATCGTCTTTTTTAATGTTTTATCATGCTGTATTTTACTTTTCAGAGCTCCAGGATGATTCACGTTTCCAACAGACGGTCCCTTCACTATCAGCATGGTGCCTTCACTGACCTGGTGTTCTACACTGTTGTCTTCCTCGCCCTGATGAACTCATGTAGAGGTAAGTTGCAAACATTACAAACAGTGTGGTTCATGTTGACATGAAGAGTTAGTTAAATTACTAAGTTTAATATGTGCTTCTAATGACACCATATGGCTCACATTTGCTGAGCTGTAGGAATAAAAAATGAATCCCTGTTTGTTTGCAGCTCAGTCTGAGGTGATCGTTCCATCTCAGCCAGTAGTTTCATTGGTGGGTGAAGACGTTATTCTGCCATGTCACCTGGACCCCGTCATGAATGCTTTTGACATGACTGTGGAGTGGGCGAGACCTGACCTGAACCCCAGATTTATCTGGTTGGCGTCACGGCCGAAGAACTGGAGACTAAAAACATCCGTCCTTCAGTGGAAGAACATCAGTGTTCATCGATGAGCTGGAGAAGGGAAACATCTCACTGAAACTCTCCAAAGTTAAAGTCTCTGATGAGGGAGGATACAAATGCTTCCTGCCTGCATTGTCAAAAACCTCCACTGTTCAGCTTGTTGTCGGTAAGAGGACATGTTTTTATGATTATTTAATAAATGTTCATGCAGCGGTCGTGGATTTGTTGCTGATGAGAGAGGAATATGTTAGAAAGGATATGTGCATCCAAATCTTTCATTGGTGCTTTCAAAGTGTTTATCTGTCCAGACGATAACGACACACGACGTGATAGTTTGCACACAGAAACAACATGACAACATGTTCACAATACTATCAGTGTGATTGACTAAATTACTCAAAAAGCTTGTAGTGACCAATTTTAACAAACCCAATATTGTTTGGAAAAGTTACTTGAGGGATGAATGTGGAAGCTTTCGGACGCGTGCTTAGCTCGAAGAAATTAACACAGTCCATTGATGATTTGATTTGGATATTTCAATCCATTTATTTTTAAACTTCTTATCAATAAAGGAAAATATGACAAACCACTGTCTATAAATAAAACAAACAAATCTGCGTTGGATGCGTTTAACTCCGACAGACTGACACGGTAGAAAAACTGTTTGCCTCCATTCAGTCACCTGTCCCACCTCACCTGGAGCGTTGCTTTAACCACAGCATCCGCCCAGGCTACACATAGTGCCCAGTAGAGGGCCAACACACACAACCATAAGGAAAATAGCATCACACAAAACAAACACATCATTTGGCTCCAACAAAGCTTAAACAGCTTAAATGTTACTGTTGATGCACGTAGCAGCCATGTTGGATTTAACTCGAGCTACTGAAGGTTCTCCGAGTTTCCAGGTCGGAATTCTGACTTCAGAGGGGCGTTCCTGATGACGTATCAGACTTCAACTCCACATTTCCGATGTAAGAATTCTCTCCTCTACAGGTTCTGTCTCCTCACCTGTTGTTCAGATGATCAAAAACAACAATGGAGTGTTGTTAGAGTGTGAGTCTGCAGACTGGTATCCAGAGCCAGAGATGGTTTGGCTGGACGGCGAGGGAAACCTCCTCTCTGCTGAACCCACTGAGACAGTCAGAGGTCCTGATGGTCTCTACACTGTCAGCAGCAGAGTGACTGTGGAGAAGAGACATGGGAGGAAGTTCACCTGTAGAGTCACACAGAGGAAGATCAACCAGACCAGAGAGAAGCACCTCACTATTCCAGGTAAATATAAGTCATTCATTATTTAATGATGTAATTATTAAGATAAACAGTAAATACAAACAATATTTACTTCTATTTCAGATTATTTCTTTGTGGTCCCTACTCCCAGTCCTCCCAGTCCTCCCAGTCCTCCTGGTACTCATGTTGTTATCGGTGCTGTGATTGGCTGTGCTGCTTTGCTGTTCATTCCTGCGATCATCTTTGTTGTGTGGAGACGGAGACAAAATAAATCCAGTAAGTGACAAACTGTCAGTCTTCTGATTGTAAGACTCCTAAAGGTTTTATGAAGTCATGCAGACGTTTGATGATGTATTGATGAGACTAGAGTTCAAGAATTGATTAGCATTTAGTTTTAGTTTCATTTGCATACATCCATTTATGATGAGGTCAGCTTTTATTCACAAACTTCACCAGTTGTTCCATCTTTTGTGTCTTCACAGAAAACAAGAAGACGAGACGTGAGGATGGAAGTGAACACTCTGAGGAAGAAAAGCTAGTCACTTCTAAAAGTGATAAAACAGGATTTCAGGTTGTGAATGAAAACGAAGAAAAAGAAGAAAGACTTCACCTCATTTCAGTTAAAGAAGAAGAGAACAATGCTGACACAACAGCAGAAAAGAGTGAGACTGAAGATGAGATTGTGACAGAACCAGAGCCAGTAAATGACATCGTCTCTGCAGTAAGAGAACGTGAAATGAAGGAAACAGATCTACCTGTGATTCAAAAAGAAGAAACAAACCAAGAGCAGGAACAGGGACAAAGACGAGAAACAAATGATGGAGACGAGAGTGAAGAGGAGACAGTGAAACCAGTTAGAGACGATTCAGGACTTTCAATACAAATAAAACACATCAACACTGATCAGAAAATGGAGAGGGAAGAGACACAGCAAGAGACAGTGAGAGATGAAGACGAGAAAGAGACAACAACTGAGAAGGAGAGACCAAAGAATAAGAAAAGAGGAGGCTCTGGATCAACAGGACGGAAGAAGCAAAAGGAGAAAGGAATCAAACTGAAGGCAGATAGAGAGAGCAAAGAGAAGCTTCAGACAGAGATGAAAAAAAGAAAACCTGAGGATGACATGACAACCAACAAAGGGGTTCAGGACCAGCCTCTTTCAGAAGACAGGAAACAGGAGAGGAGTCAGACAGAACCTGAGGATAGAGGAGAAAGAAAACAAGAAGAAAACCAAAGTACCCTCACTAAAACAACAGAAGAGAAGGCAGGGGACACTTACAAAGGAGCGGACAGTAATGAAAATCAAGTAGAGGTCATGAAAACACAAAGCAAACATCAAAGGGGAAGAGAAGAAAGAATCAGACAAGCAGCTGAACGCAGAAAAGCAACTAAACCAGGTGGAAGAGTCACAGAGGAGGTAAAAGTAGAGGGTAGAGAAGGAAGAGATGAAGGGTCAGAAACTGATGAAGGAGCTGAAATTGAAACTCGAAGGAAGAAAGAAAATATACAAACAGGATTCAGAGAGAGAGGAGCTGAGGGTCAAGAGGAACTGCAGGAAGATGAGGATGGAGAGACTGATAAACCTCAACATGACACATGGAGGATCAAACCACAACAAACACAGAGCCGTGAGGCTCATCTCCAAAGGATAAAACACTACCAGGATGAGGAAGAGGGAGATGTTAGTATGGAGTCTGAAGAAGAAACTTAAGAAGAGAAATATTAAACCAAAACATGTGATTGGACTCCACATGAGGAAGAAGCTTTGAGTAAAGAAGAGAAGGGAGATGAGCTGAAACAGAAAACAGTCGACATTAGGCGACTCAGCAGAGAAGAGGAACTGAATGATGGAGCGCTGAGCAGCTTATTTACCTTTTTCAACTAATCATTAGAAGGCATCTTTTCCCCTGTGTCCTTCATGAATAGAGGAATTACAGAGACCAAAACATTTTTACCATACAGTAAACATGTTTCAAACTGCTGTAAAGTTCTGCATTTTACATGGAAATTGACTCACTTTTGGCATCAACGTCAGACTACTCAAGGAGCTGCTGTTTTTGGTGTTTCAGCATTGTTTGACACTGGCCGCTGGGATGGCGGCGTTGTTGATGTCAGGGTTTTCCATTTGGTCCAATGACAGAAACTCCTTTGTACATTTTCTAAATGTGCACATTTTGTTAAGGACTGCAAATCCATGCACATGGTTTAAAACACTGTGGAACATGACTGATTATTTTTGTCCTCAGTGGCTCATTATTGATGAGGCTGGCAGCAGAGGGGAAGAAGAAACTGTTCTTGTGGCTGAGGTTTTGGTTCTGATAGACTGCGGCCTCTAACCAGAGGGGAGGGTCTCGTGCACATTGTTGAACACTCTTTAAATTTGTTTTTGTGCTGTGTGTTTTGTGTGAGGTCAAATGATAAATTGTGCACAGCTGGAATCGTTAAGTAAAGTTTGTATGTTGATTAAGATGCTTTTGTACCAACAGATTAAAACCACAGTGATCTTATATCATTTAAAAGCTTGTAGACTTTTTATGTCGAGTTATATAAAACCCTCAGGAGACCTTGTATGACACTTCTCGCTTTTTACACCTCATGTCACACACTGATGGCAGAGGCTGCTATGTGACGTGTCCATCGGTATAAACTAATCCATTTCTACACTTTCACACGTCTCTGATTCAGCAGCAGGAGCAATTCAGGGTTCAGTATCCTGAACATGTCCCGGACATATGGCTGCAGCAGCTGGGGATTAGATCCCTTACCCTCCAGTTAAGAGACGACTCCACCACTGAACCACAGCCATCCAATTAAAAGTGAAATATCAATAAAGTCAAATGTAAAGACTCTTCCCTTGTAATCAATCTGCGAGGCTCTATCAGAAATAATAACTGGACCTTGTGAAAATAATTTCATGCATAAATAGATATCGGACCTTCAGTGTATATTTTCCGTTTGGTTCTTGATCGCATTCTTTTCATATTTCAAAAAAGCTGATAAACAGCTACCTTATATATCTTTCTGATGGATTATAAAATACTAGATATTTTGTTTTAAAATATGTTAATTTTAGACAGAAAAAAAAATATATAAAAGATGTTCAAACTCAAGACAAAGCATCAACTTCACACAGTGTCCCATTTTAGTCATTTCACCTCTTTCTTAAGTTGCAATAGGAAGTTGACCTCCTGGTCGTCATCTTACACCAACCCTCTGTTTTCACTGAGCCTCATGAAACCTCGTGCAGTACCACAGATTTCCACAAGATGATGCTGCTGAGCTCCTGATCTGATGTGCGTTTGACCCATAGCTCAGGACCCACCACCAACTCCTCCCTGAAAAACTGTGACCCAAATTCTAACCAAATTCAACCAATCAGATTGATTTAATGAAAATTTGAGCAGTTTTTTAAGTTTGCAGCTTCAATCAAATGTTATAGCTCGGACGATGCAAAACACCTGATGGAAGATATAAACAAACATGTTTAAAAAGCGCTTGACAGACTGTTCGAGACATGTTTTTTTCCAGGAACATGACCCACTGAAAACAGCTCCCGACCCACCTTTGGGTCCCGACCCTCCAGTTGAGAATCACTGGTCTAGACTGTCTTGGCGGGTTAGGGTCACAAGAGGTGTTATGGAGAGAATTGCATGCGCACCTTTCAAGACACTTTTCTACACTGATGGATTTTACATCCATCTTTAAATTTCCTCTACAAACACATTAGAGTCAAACACTGTTTGCAGGTCAGAACAATAAGGACACTTTACGTTTATCAAGTGTAAACTGTACATAGTCTACTTTGTCGTCACAGATCTGCCCGCAGAAATATGAGACCGTTTTCAGACACTTCCACGAGGGGTGCATTTCTGGACATAACACCAGCAGTCTACATTACTGTGAGTGAAAGCTGAATCTGTGAATATCTTTCTAACTTTACCGAAGTTCTGAAGCCTTTAATCCTTCATTGAACGGTATGAACGGTTACGTCCACTGAAGCTCATAAAGCCGATGAAACCTGAACACACCTTTTTATTACAGGTGATCTGAGGATCCGCTTATCTCTTTTTATCAGACTTTGACCCATCAGAGTCCTCGGTAGACTTCCACAACGATCCAACAGGTATGAATATGTTTGAATTAATGTGTTCATTTTGGGTTTATAACACGCTGAAAAACAATTTCTCTTTGTTTAAAGATTAAACACGCAGACTAGACTTTCTGTTTTCTTTGTGCAACAGATGCTCCCATGATGTGTTTACGGGATAACATTACATTTAAAATACATGTAGCCTATATTCATATTATTTGTATGAGTCAATATATTCAAACCAAATACCTCCGAGTCCGATTATAACCAGCAGCTGGTTTTGATTTTAGTCTTTTACTCCGTCGGTAACCGGGACAAACTTTAACAGTGTGACGACAGAGAGGTGGTGAACTTCCTGCTGAGCCTTCTTTATTTAAAACGATCTTTATATAAAACATTGAAGTCTATCTAATGACAAACTGTCCGTTTATGTTTAAATATTGTTAAATTCTGATTCTGATTTTTCTTTGCAAATGAAAGTGAAACTAAACTGTTTGTTTAAAACGTGCAGAGTGAAGGACACATGAGGACTTGTTAATAATTATACAGAGAGGGTCATACAGACATTCATGCTCACACCTCCTGAGGATTTATCTCAAAGCTTAGCCAGGGACAGGGGTTTCAAATTAGCCACAGCTAGAAACCTGGATGCATGGCATCTAGTTTGTGTTTCAAGAGGACATATCATCCCTCTTCTCCATCTTTTCAAACATTCCCCTGTGGTCTCAATGAAACATCTTTGCTGTTCTTTGGTCAAAATATAACATGAATCAAGCACCAGAGGAGATTTGTGACCCTGTATAAACCAGCTCTCTCAGAATGCTCCGCTTTGGTGTGTGTGTCTCTTTAAATCAGTGGTTCTCAAACTATGGTAGTACACAGGACTCCCTGTGGTGGTACACAAAGAAATCTCCACAATATAAAAAAAACACCCGTTCAGCATAAAACAACATTTTATTTTGATCATACTCTTATTTTATCTGTCTTGTATCTATTGGGTTGTATTTATATCAAATGTGTTTTCCCCTCTAAATTAATCTAGTTTTTGCAACAAACAACTTTAATCTGCTCAATATATGCTCGAACGTACACAAACATAAACAACAACAGGAGTACGCCTCACGTTTTGAAAAGTTCAGTACTGTTTAGTACTGAAACATCAGCAAGCAGCTGTAGGCCTACATTAACAGATATTCTGTTATTTATTGGAGTTCAGTCCTGAAACAACAGCAAGCTGCTGAGAAACTTCAGTTTTGATGCATGTACGGACAGTGGAACTTATCGCTCCCCCTCCCTCTCTCTCTCCCTCTCTCTCTCTCTCCTCTCTCTCTCTCTCTCTCTCTCTCTCTCTCCCCCTCCCTCTCTCTCTCCCTCTCTCTCTCTCTCCCTCTCTCTCTCTCTCTCTCTCTCTCTCTCTCTCTCTCTCTCTCTCTCTCTCTCTCTCTCTCTTGCTCTGAAGCTGATGTGATTCTGCTCTCTTGTGCTGTCTTAACACTCCGAAAGGATTCAAGAGGGATTTTATTTGGCAATTTTGCTATGTTGAACACAGAGCCTTATAATACAGCGGCTCTGGGCAAAAGTTTTGCTCTAGGGTGGGGGTGGAGTCCATGGGTGGAGATACGAGGGGAGGGGATTTCTTTTTACCAGAATCCCACTGTGACATCACAAGGAGAGCACATTTGAAACAGAGCATTTTTTTCTGTGTTGTAAGACTGATGCAGACCACAAACAAAGGACTGGATGGGTTTATTTCACATTTTGTGGACACTCAGCAGTGGTTCCCCTAGGATTACAGCGTTGGGGGGGTGGGGACATGGCGACAAGACGACACGACGACACGACGACACAAACACTTGAAGGAATCTTGGTGTTCATGCGTTACTTTTAATGACAGCTGTCCTTTTCTATCGGAAAGGTTTCCTTAAATGACTTCTTTCTCTGATTTCCGACTCTATCCACTATCCTATCTCTACAATAAAGACACAAAAAGCCGTTGATGATATTTAACTGAATGTACGCTCAGTGTCCAGATTATTTGCTCCACTAATATGAATTATAAACAACTTCTTACAAGCTGAGCAGTTAAAAATACTCACTAGTAGCTAATTAAGGGTTATTGATTCAGATTAGTGCAAGTGGAATTTTTTTCTAAATCTGGTTTGAACAAACTTTGTGCAACAAGACTAATTCAAATGTTCTTGTTTATGATTTGATAAGAAAATGTATAAAATTCACTGTGAAATGTAGTGATTATATCCCTTTGTTAATGTCCTGTATTTATAGTTCTTGTGATTTTTTTATAATGATATGGATGTATGGGTCTGAAATAAAGTATAAAGAATCACATCACAGACTTTGAGAACGATGATTAAAACACATGTGGAGTCTCAGAGACCCAGAAACAGATTTCTGTTCTGACAACCCAAACAAGTCAACCCTTCAAAATCATGTTTATAAACCATTCTAATAAATTAACTTGAGGGCTTTGAGGTCACTATCATCCCATACTGACGTTCATTTATTTACCTACAGTTTGATTAACTGTGGTCTCCGACCTGCAAGAGGCTTTTTAAGTGCTCCTCAGTATCGTCTTTTTCAATGTTTTATCATGCTGTATTTTACTTTTCACAGCTCCAGGATGATTCACGTTTCCAACAGACGGTCCCTTCACTATCAGCATGGTGCCTTCACTGACCTGGTGTTCTACACTGTTGTCTTCCTCGCCCTGATGAACTCATGTAGAGGTAAGTTGCAAACATTACAAACAGTGTGGTTCATGTTGACATGAAGAGTTATTTAAATTACTGAAGTTTAAGTATGTCCTTCTAATGACACCATATGGCTCACATTTGCTGAGCTGTAGGAATAAAAAATGAATCCCTGTTTGTTTGCAGCTCAGTCTGAGGTGATCGTTCCATCTCAGCCAGTAGTTTCATTGGTGGGTGAAGACATTATTCTGCCATGTCACCTGGACCCCGTCATGAATGCTTTTGACATCACTGTGGAGTGGGCGAGACCTGACCTGAACCCCAGATTTGTCCTGGTGTGGCGTCACGGCGAAGAACTGAAGACTAAAAAACATCCGTCCTTCAGTGGAAGAACATCAGTGTTCATCGATGAGCTGGAGAAGGGAAACATCTCACTGAAACTCTCCAAAGTTAAAGTCTCTGATGAGGGAGGATACAAATGCTTCCTGCCTACATTGTCAAAAACCTCCACTGTTCAGCTTGTTGTAGGTAAGAGGACATGTTTTTATGATTATTTAATAAATGTTCATGCAGCGGTCGTGGATTTGTTGCTGATGAGAGAGGAATATGTTAGAAAGGATATGTGCATTCAAATCTTTCATTGGTGCTTTCAAAGTGTTTATCTGTCCAGACGATAACGACACACGATGTGATAGTTTGCACACAGAAACAACATGACAACATGTTCACAATACTATCAGTGTGATTGACTAAATTACTCAAAAAGCTTGTAGTGACCAATTTTAACAAACCAATTTTAACAAACCCAATATTTTTTAGAAAAGTCACTTGAGGGATGAATGTGGAAGCTTTCGGACGCGTGCTTAGCTCGAAGAAATTAACACAGTCTGTAATGGCAATTTTCCAATTTTTTCCTTTGCTCCAATTATTGCCATTAATACACAGGTAGGGGTGAAGTCTTACGCAGATGCAAACAATGATTTTCCAGCCGTTATTAAAGTTGAGTTGAAGGTTTATTGAAGTGACTTGATGGAGATATGAGAACAAACAACATACCATTTCCAGTGAAGCGTAGCCAGTAGAATTAATGAATTGTAGTTTGTCTGAGTGCTGGTCTGAAACATGAATGCCGGTCTGGTGAGAACTGTCTGTGCTCCCCCTACCTGTGCCCTCCCTTTCCTGTCACCTGTGCCACTATATACACGCCCCTGTGCATTCAGTGTCCCGAGTGGAAAATAATATATTCAGATAAATCTAATTATACAACATGCCAGCGATAAACACAAAATGGCTCCTACACAGTCCATTGATGATTTGATTTGGATTTTTAAATCCATTTATTTTTAAATACTTCTTATCAATAAAGGAAAATATGACGAACCACTGTCTATAAATAAAACAAACAAATCTGCTGACACGGTAGAAAAACTGTTTGCCTCCATTCAGTCACCTGTCCCACCTCACCTGGAGCGTTGCTTTAACCACAGCATCCGCCCAGGCTACACATAGTGCCCAGTAGAGGGCCAACACACACAACCATAAGGAAAATAGCATCACACAAAAGAAACACATCATTTGGCTCCAACAAAGCTTAAACAGCTTAAATGTTACTGTTGATGCACGTAGCAGCCATGTTGGATTTAACTCGAGCTACTGAAGGTTCTCCGAGTTTCCAGGTCAGAATTCTGACTTCAGAGGGGCGTTCCTGATGACGTATCAGACTTCAACTCCACATTTCCGATGTAAGAATTCTCTCCTCTACAGGTTCTGTCTCCTCACCTGTTGTTCAGATGACCAAAAACAACAATGGAGTGTTGTTAGAGTGTGAGTCTGCAGACTGGTATCCAGAGCCAGAGATGTTTTGGCTGGACGGCGAGGGAAACCTCCTCTCTGCTGAACCCACTGAGACAGTCAGAGGTCCTGATGGTCTCTACACTGTCAGCAGCAGAGTGACTGTGGAGAAGAGACATGGGAGGAAGTTCACCTGTAGAGTCACACAGAGGAAGATCAACCAGACCAGAGAGAAGCACCTCACTATTCCAGGTAAATATAAGTCATTAATTATTTAATGATGTAATTATCAAGATAAACAGTAAATACAAACAAATGTTTCTTCTATTTCAGATAATTTCTTTGTGGCCCCCTACTCCCAGTCCCTCCAGTCCTCCCAGTCCTCCTGGTACTCAGCATGTTGTTATCGGCGCTGTGATTGGCTGTGCTGCTTTGCTGTTCATTCCTGCGATCATCTTTGTTGTGTGGAGACGGAGACAAAAGAAATTCAGTAAGTGACAAACTGTCAGTCTTCTGATTGTAAGACTCCTAAAGGTTTTATGAAGTCATGCAGACGTTTGATGATGTATTGATGAGACTAGAGTCCAAGAAGTGATTAGCATTTAGTTTTAGTTTCATTTGCATACATCCATTTATGATGAGGTCAGCTTTTATTCACAAACTTCACCAGTTTCTCCATCTTTTGTGTCGTCACAGAAAACAAGAAGAGGAGACGTGAGGATGGAAGTGAACACTCTGAGGAAGAAAAACCAGTCACATCTAAAAGTGATAAAACAGGATTTCAGGTTGTGAATGAAGGAGAAAAAGAAAAACTTCCACTCATTTCAGTTAAAGAAGAAGAGAATAATGCTGACAAAACAGAAGAAAAGAGTGAGACTGAAGATGAGATTGTGACAGAACCAGAGCCAGTAAAAGACATCGTCTCTGCAGCAGGAAAACGTGAAACGAAGGAAACAGATCTACCTGAGATTCTAAAAGAAGAAGAAACAAACCAAGAGCAGGAACAGGGACAAAGACGAGAAACAAATGATGGAGACGAGAGTGAAGAGGAGACAGTGAAACCAGTTAGAGACGATTCAGGACTTTCAATACAAATAAAACACATCAAAACCGATCAGTTGATTGAGAGGGAAGAGACACAGCAAGAGGCATTGAGTGATGAAGACGAGAAAGAGACAAAAACTGAGAAGGAGAGACCAAAGATGGATTATAGGGAGGAGCAGACAAATAAAGGAGTCTCTGGATCGACAGGACAGAAGAAGCAAAAGGAGAAAGGAATCAAACTGAAGGCAGATAGAGAGAGTAAAGAGAAGCTTCAGTCAGAGATGAAAAAAATAAAAACCTAAGGATGACATGATGATCAACCAACGAAGGAGAATTCAGGACCAGCCTCTTTTAGAAGACAGGAAACAGGAGAGGAGTCAGACAGAACCTGAGGATAGAGGAGAAAGAAAACAAGAAGAAAACCAAAGTACCCTCACTAAAACAACAGAAGAGAAGGCAGGGGACACTTACAAAGGAGCGGACAGTAATGAAAATCAAGAAGAGGTCATGGAAACACAAAGCAAACATCAAAGGGAAAGAGACGAAAAGAGGAGACGAGCAGCTGAACGCAGAAAAACAACTAAACCAGGTGGAGGAGTCACAGAGGAGGTAAAAGTAGAGGGTAGAGAAGGAAGAGATGAGGGGTCAGAAACTGATGAAGGAGCTGAAAATGAAACTCGAAGGAAGAAAGAAAATATACAAACAGGATTCAGAGAGGGAGGAGCTGAGGGTCAAGAGGAACTGCAGGAAGATGAGGATGGAGAGACTGATAAACCTCAACATGACACATGGAGGATCAAACCACAACAAACACAGAGCCGTGAGGCTCATCTCCAAAGGATAAAACACTACCAGGATGAGGAAGAGGGAGATGTTAGTATGGAGTCTGAAGAAGAAACTTAAGAAGAGAAATATTAAACCAAAACATGTGATTGGACTCCACATGAGGAAGAAGCTTTGAGTAAAGAAGAGAAGGGAGATGAGCTGAAACAGAAAACAGTCGACATTAGGCGACTCAGCAGAGAAGAGGAACTGAATGATGGAGCGCTGAGCAGCTTATTTATCTTTTTCAACTAATCATTAGAGGGCATCTTTTCCCCTGTGTCTGTCATGAATAGAGGAATTACAGAGACCAAAACATTTTTACCATACAGTAAACATGTTTCAAACTGCTGTAAAGTTCTGCATTTTACATGGAAATTGACTCACTTTTGGCATCAACGTCAGACTACTCAAGGAGCTGCTGTTTTTGGTGTTTCAGCATTGTTTCACACTGGCAGCTGGGATGGCGGCGTTGTTGATGTCAGGGTTTTCCATTTGGTCCAATGACAGAAACTCCTTTGTACATTTTCTAAATGTACACATTTTGTTAAGGACTGCAAATCCATGCACATGGTTTAAAACACTGTGGAACATGACTGATTATTTTTGTCCTCAGTGGCTCATTATTGATGAGGCTGGCAGCAGAGGGGAAGAAGAAACTGTTCTTGTGGCTGAGGTTTTGGTTCTGATAGACTGCAGCCTCTAACCAGAGGGGAGGGTCTCGTGCACATTGTTGAACACTCTTTAAATTTGTTTTTGTGCTGTGTGTTTTGTGTGAGGTCAAATGATAAATTGTGCACAGCTGGAATCATTAAGTAAAGTTTGTATGCTGATTAAGATGCTTTTGTACCAACAGATTAAAACCACAGTGATCTTATATCATTTAAAAGCTTGTAGACTTTTTATGTCGAGTTATATAAAACCCTCAGGAGACCTTGTATGACACTTCTCGCCTTTTTAAACCTCATGTCACACGCTGAAGGCAGAGGCTGCTATGTGACGTGTCCATCGGTATAAACTAATCCATTTCTACACTTTCACACGTCTCTGATTCAGCAGCAGGAGCAATTCAGGGTTCAGTATCCTGAACATATGTCCCGGACATATGGCTGCAGCAGCTGGGGATTAGATCCCTTACTCTCCAGTTAAGAGACGACTCCACCACTGAACCACAGCCGCCCAATTAAAAGTGAAATATCAATAAAGTAAAATGTAAAGACTCTTCCCTTGTAATCAATCTGCGAGGCTCTATCAGAACTAATAACTGGACCTTGTGAAAATAATTTCATGCATAAAAAGATATCGGACCTTCAGTGTATATTTTAACTTTGGTTCTTGATCGCATTCTTTTCATATTTCAAAAAAGCTGATAAACAGCTACCTTATATATCTTTCTGATGGATTATAAAATACTAGATATTTTGTTTTAAAATATGTTAATTTTAGACAGAAAAAAAAATATATAAAAGATGTTCAAACTCAAGACAAAGCATCAACTTCACACAGTGTCCCATTTTAGTCATTTCACCTCTTTCTTAAGTTGCAATAGGAAGTTGACCTCCTGGTGCTCAGCTTTCACTGAGCCTCATGAAACCTCGTGCAGTACCAGAGATTTCCACAAGATGACGCTGCTGAGCTCCTGATCTGATGTGCGTTTGACCACAGTGAACTGAAAAAGAGGTGACCAGGCTGTTATTATGGAAACACGTTTATAGGCCCAGCTTCTCCCAAACACAACAACAGTTATGTAACTGAATGTTTGATGGCGCAAGTCTGAATCTGGAGCAACACATCTGCAGATAATAAAACAACACAATATCAATTATTGAAACTTAGAAAAAGGATAAAACGAACATTTTCTTTATTAAATAACAATTTAAGGGCAAGAGGATGCTGATCAAAGTGTTCTTTAATGAGTATAACAATCACATGAGGTGGTTGATGTTAATACATTTAAATTCAAAATAATTGATTTAATTCAAATTTATAATCAAAGGTGGTTTACTTGGTTGCCTCTTTGGTAGATAAAAGTCCACTGCATGGTGCCCTCCAGTGGACAGAAAGTGTTAATGTGTCTTTAAATAAGGATTGAAGGATTCTCAGAATCCCATTATTATGCTGCTGACAAATCCCAGTCATAGTTCTGTGATATACCAGTCAGCCCAGTGGTGACACTGGTACAGCTGTCTTTTATAATATTGGTGATGTTTTGTCTGACTGTCTTATTACCCTGTGTTTTTATTTTGTTTCCTTTTTATATGTTTTCTAATGGACTCCTGAGTCAGGCAGTAAAGATGATGAATAAGTGGTAACGTGCCCTCCAGGGTGCCCACTTCGTTGACATGCCCCTGTGGACCAAAATCCCCAATCCAGTGAACAGAATAAGTGGTTACTATCCTCCAGAATGTCCTTCCAGTGGACAAAACGTGTTCACATGGCACTGTACCACTTTTTGTCCACTGGAAGGATCCTGGAACTATTTCATTATCAATGTATGACGACTTAAGCGCTGGTGCCCCTCAGCATGAAGAAGGTGCCTTTTAAAAATTCCCCTGCCCGTCAAGCATCCCAAGTCCGCCAGTGACAGTAGGCTACTTCTCTTATCCAAATGTTTACATCTTCAGAATACAATTATGAGTTTATAATAAAGATGTACATTATATTTCTAAAATGATTTAATAATGTTGATTCAATCCGTGTGTTTATTTCAGACTATGGGCAGCATGTTGTTTAATAAATCCTCATCGGAGCATTACTTTTATTTTAGTTTTTATTCTAAGGATAACGGACCGAACGGCTCCGCTTCCTCCGTCTGAGCGGCGGCCCTACTCAAAGATCGTTTATTAAGACGATGACCCACGAGAGGCAAAAACGAATAATTAACCTAGAGGTTGAAAAATTTAAAATACGAGGCACTTGAATAATTTATTTTGGTCAATTGAAGTAGAAAATGTAAAACAACATCAGACATTTCAGACATCTGTAGAATCAGATACAGAAAATAGATAATCAGAAAATACAATAGAGAAAAATAAAGACAAGGGGATAATGGGATTCTTCTAATAATTCTAAATAAGATTAAGTAATTTTTACCCCAATTTTCTAATCAATATACTTCAGGGCTTTATAATAAAGTGCTAGTTCTGTCAGTAAACTGTCAGTAAGGGTTGTGTCTTATTACAGTACGTTTACTTTTATGACTAAAAATGAATAAAACCTTTCTACTAAATGGAGACTGAAAAATAAGGTGGTATTGTCAGTATACCTGCGTGTGTGCAGTGTATGAATACACAGCTGCCTATTTATTACATTGAGAGTGAAAAGGCGTAGTTCACGAATTTGGTACTCTGAAATGTGTTCAGAGTGAGCCCTCGTCTCAGTGCTCCCTCTGTGTTCTGCCCATATGTCAAAGTCTTTGTGCTTTTCAAGACAGGCGCGAGGCGACAGAAGGGAAAAAAACAGCTGGATCTGAGGATCTGTGCAGCTGTGCGGCTAGCTGTGTCCTCTCCCGGAGACAGCGCTTTCTTCCTCGGCTGTCGGACTGTCAGAAAAAAAGGTAACGTACCATAAAAGCTGTCTATGAGCCAGAAGAGAAAGGGGGTGGGGGGGTCGTTAACAGGCGCGGGGGTCGCCTCCACCTGAAGCTTCGCTTTTTGACCTATTTTTCCAGCAGGCTAACCAGCTAGCTTCACGTTAGCATCTGTGGACGCTGATTAGCCAGCTAGCTTAATGTTAGCTAATTAGCTTTCTGCTAGCTGTAAGGAGACAGAAGAGGGACACACAATCTTCTCTCTTTACACATTCAGGGTTTTTATTTGTACCTGAGCTAGCTGTTTTAGCTGCTGGTTGACTGGGCTCTGTTTTATGAAGGTATGGGATATAAATAATGCTCTTTAAACACAGAAACATGAGTAAAAGAGTTAAAAATGTTTGTTTAAAATGTTTTTATTACTTCAGCTTTATGAACCTGCAGGTGTTTTTCTTTATTCTTATTATTTATTCTTTATTATTAAGTAGTGTTTATGTTGAATACCAGGGTTAGATCATAGTTTTTAAAGGCCTGATGATTAAAAAAATCTCACATGATAAAAGAAAAATACAATAAAATAGTAATTGTTAGTTATAATCAATAATTTAATAATAGAATAAATTATAAACACTAATGGATTTATAACAAGAGTAATAATCAGATAAACATCTAAAAATAACAAATGAACAAAATAAGATGTAATTCAATGTTCTTATTTAAGTAATGAATGTTTTATTGTGTGTGTGTGTGTGTGTGTGTGTGTGTGTGTGTGTGTGTGTTTGTGTGTAAAGATATTCAAGGCCTGTGTCTTGTGTTTTTTAGTTGTTATTGTGTCTGTGTCCTAGATTGTGTGTAGCTTTGTTTGACTGTGTGTGTGTGTGTGTGTGTGTGTGTGTGTGTGTGTGTGTGTGTGTGTGTTAGGGCTGACCAAAACTCTTATCTTGATATTGTTTAGCTGAGTGATGACAACGGGGGGGGATGGCGTCCACACAGCGTCTCGGTCGCCGGCTTATAACTCTCTAAGTTTGTCAGCATGTAGTGCGTACGGCTGCACGGTACTAACCAGCCAACTCTGTACTGTTTGTTACAACAGCTGAAGCTCAGAGGACGCTGACGGGGGAAGCTAAGAAGAGAAAAGAGAGAGAGTGAGCGAGCGAGAAGCAGAGTTTACATCTCAGCAGATTTTATTCAGATGAGACGTAACGTTTCGTTATCAGTGTCATCGTTGTCTCATGTTTAGCAGCTTTACTGGCTGCAGAAAGTCGACTAACCCGAGTTATATCTCAGGTTTGATACAAATAAATAAATAAACCTGACACCAGAAAGTCGTCTCTACAACGAGCTGTAGACGCCAGCAGAGTCATATTCGTGCAAATCATCAATCAGTCGATATTTGACTTCTTTGGTTTCTAACAACACCGCTCCTCTGTTAACAAATGAACTTTATCTGCGATGGGGAGCCATGACAGCGCTGTGTGTATTTACGACGGTGCAGTCGCACTCGGAGTCCTTTAGTGGGCGCCAAATTGCACCAAACTAAATTCCTACATAAACAGTCATTGATCTACTCGGATCCTTTCCAATCCATGCTTTGAAAGTGATAACTAAATTTAAAATGCACATGTAGCCAGTGTAATAATTCGGCTACAGTTCTGCAAAAGCATTTTAAATTAACTAAAACTTGGAGGGCCTTAAGCACAGTTTAGTAAAATGACACAACTCTACAATCATATCCAAGATCTTCCTCAGTGAGTGTCAACTCGCCTGACTCATTTCGATCACAGTAACCAACATCTAACTGCTCCAATATGTGACCCTCTGTGACACTCATATTTAATGTCATGAGGTGTTTTCAGCAGTTTCACTTGACCTCTGAGAGACATAAAGTAACACAGATCTCCACTCGCAGAAAGACTAATCGAATCTCTCTCAAATTCCCCCTGGAAAACTCCCGTCCTTGTTTGTTGACTTTTCTCCCCAAAAAAATTCCTCTTATCTCTCTGAATGTTTTTGCGTCTCGCTGTCTGGAAGGATTCCGACTCGTCAGCTGTTCATATAAACAGAGAGAGCAGACATCCCCCATCTTATACCGTGATCCAGTCTTATAGTTGATGTCTGCTGTCAGGCCTAAACAGTTGTTATCAAGGATGTTGGGCTCGCTTGTTTCTCAAAGCTGCAATCAGAGGTTTTATTTGGACCCGTTCAGTTCTGTGGTGACTCCCACACTGTCTGAAAACGGCTGCCCTCGTACATGAAACCTCCACAGTTTGCTGCTTTCTGAACATCCCGTAACCATGGCTGTGACGTGTTTTCATTTCTAGACATAAAGACGGCTTTTATTTTGTTAATTTAAAGCACAGAGAGCGGAGAAAAACAGAAAGATCTTTCTATGAGGCCAGAAGAATAACCATTTACACCTCTGACTAAAATCAAACTCCTGAAAAAGTTTGGGTGTTATTTGCTCACTTTAATCTTTAAAGAGGACATATTATACCACTTTTTCACCTTTTCAAACAGTCCCCTGTGGTCTAAATGAAACATCTGTGCTGTGTTTTGGTCAAAATATAACATGAATCAAGCACCAGAGGAGGTTTGTGACCCTGTATAAACCAGTTCTCTCAGAACGCTCCGTTTTGGTGTGTGTGTCTCTTTAAATGAAATGAGCCCCCCCCCCCCCCCCCCGAGTTTTCCCCGTAGACATCACTCTTCTGTAGCGAAAATACAAATGGCGGACCTGCGCAAAAGTTTTGTTCTAGGCTGGGGGTGGAGATACCAGGGGAGGAGAGGTTTTTTTTTTTTTTTAACCAGAATCCCACTGTGACATCACAAGGAAAGCACATTTGAAACAGATCTTTTTTTCTCTGTGTTGTAAGACTTATGCAGACCACAAACAAAGGACTGGATGGGTTTATTTCAGATTTTGTGGGTCAGTAGACACTCAGGTTACCCAAATATATGTTCAAAAACACTGTACAAGTGGATTTTTCACAATATGTCCCCTTTAAACGTTTCCCTGCTATAAGATCCTCAAAGCATTGACCTGGGGGAACAAGTAGCCTAGTGGTTAGTGCGGAGGCTGTCCAAGCGGGCTGCCCAGGTTCAAATCCGTCCTTCCCCGCTCTCTCTCTCTCCTCCTGACTTCTGACTCTATCCACTGTCCTAAAAAAAACGCCATGAACTGGTGCTTATCACCACAGCAGTGTTGGAACCATCCCAACAGTGAGAAAAGAGAGTCGTGATAAGGAGTGATAGAGCATAAGAAGAAAATAGCTCATAGTACAGCAGTGGTTGCAGCTGTAGATTTAAGGGATGCCAGATATATTTCTGTAAAGCTCATTTTCATGACAAGTAAACTTAAACATCCACACTGATCTGAATCATGTCGTAGGGAGACGCTCTGACAATGTGAGAGGTCTGAGTGGACTGTCAGCAGCAAAGGTGGCTTTTATTTGAGTGTGATGTGTGGTCATCTTATGCCAATTGGCTTCCAAATGATTTTCACTGACAAAGACAGTTTCCCAGAGTCTGAATGAATTTAGATTTCTTCTACCTATCATTTGTGGCCTGCCACCTCAGCGCCACCTGGAAAACAGCACAAAATACTTTATTTGTAGAATATCTCTCTGCGCTGGTCACGTGTTCAAACCGACCCCGTCACACTGACTCCTTTATGGTTCGTCTCAGAAGCAGCGCCAGTATATGATTTTTGGCAGAGCCTCTCACCTGTTGAAGTTACAACTCTTCCCCTTTCACATATCATATTTTATTGGCATCTTTTGGAGATATTTCTCTGAACATTTACAATATCTATGGCCGATCTACATTGACTCAAACTAGAGAGAGGGAGTGGCGTCCTGCACAGTCTGTTTCTGCCTTTTATGGACGATCAAAGCACACGGGAACTTTCAATATAATTCTCCTTTTTCTGCATTTGTAAGAATTGGTCTGTCTCAAAAGGAAATGTTTTTACAGCTATGAAATCTGACGCGACTCTCTCAGCAGAAGCAGCGTCAGTGACTGTTGATGAGATTGATGGAGGAAAGATTGTACTGACTTTAATGTCTGACTTTAATCTGGGTTAAAGTTGACTCCCTGTCCCGAACTTGTTGCCCCCTCTGAGCTCTCTGTTCTGCTGCTGGACAAAGTTACACAACATGCTTACAAGCTTGTTAGTTTAAGAAAGCTGGGGTGAATCCAGACGTTTTAAACTGCGACGGCCAAACTGGGGACCCCTACTGCAGAGGGGCATGACGTTTGTTTTCATGCACGTAAAGGAACATTATTTATTTACTCCTATGATCCATCATATCTACAAATATGTTTACAAGAGGAATGTACAGACAGTGGACCTCCTCTCTCTCTCTCTTTCTCTGAAGCTGATGTGATTCTTCTCTTGTGGTTTTGCTGCGACTTAACTCTCCGCAGGAGTCGAGAGGGAATTTTCTTGCACGGAGCCGTGAGGTCCTTGTGCGCACCTTAGTTACAAATGTCGGAAAGGAACATTATTATTTACTCCTATGATCCATCATATCTACAAATATGTTTACAAGAGGAATGTACAGACAGTGGACCTCCTCTCTCTCTCTCTCTTTCTCTGAAGCTGATGTGATTCTTCTCTTGTGGTTTTGCTGCGACTTAACTCTCCGCAGGAGTCGAGAGGGAATTTTTTGCACGGAGCCGTGAGGTCCTTGTGCGCACCTTAGTTACAAATGTCGGAATATACTTGGGCGGCCCGCCCAGTCTGTGTGGAAAACACTAGATGTGTAGGTGCAGGTTTAGTTTGTGTGTTGGTGCAGGTTTAGCTTGTGTGTAGGTGCTGGTTTAGTTTGTGTGTAGGTGCTGGTTTAGTTTTTGTGTAGGTGCAGGTTTAGTTTGTGTGTAGGTGCTGGTTTAGTTTGTGTGTAGGTGCTGGTTTAGTTTGTGTGTAGGTGCTGGTTTAGTTTTTGTGTAGGTGCAGGTTTAGTTTGTGTGTAGGTGCAGGTTTAGTTTGTGTGTTGGTGCAGGTTTAGTTTTTGTGTTGGTGCAGGTTTAGTTTGTGTGTTGGTGCAGGTTTAGTTTGTGTGTTGGTGCAGGTTTAGTTTGTGTGTAGGTGCAGGTTTAGTTTGTGTGTAGGTGCAGGTTTAGTTTGTGTGTAGGTGCAGGTTTAGTTTTTGTGTTGGTGCAGGTTTAGTTTGTGTGTAGGTGCAGGTTTAGTTTGTGTGTAGGTGCAGGTTTAGTTTGTGTGTAGGTGCAGGTTTAGTTTGTGTGTAGGTGCAGGTTTAGTTTGTGTGTAGGTGCAGGTTTAGTTTTTGTGTTGGTGCAGGTTTTAGTTTGTGTGTAGGTGCAGGTTTAGCTTGTGTGTAGGTGCAGGTTTAGCTTGTGTGTAGGTGCAGGTTTAGTTTGTGTGTAGGTGCAGGTTTAGTTTGTGTGTAGGTGCAGGTTTAGTTTGTGTAGGTGCAGGTTTAGTTTGTGTGTTGGTGCAGGTTTAGTTGTGTGTAGGTGCAGGTTTAGTTTGTGTGTTGGTGCAGGTTTAGTTTGTGTGCTGTGTCTTTAAATCTCCTCGCTCTCTCTCTCTCTCTCTCTCTCTCTCTCTCTCTCTCTGTGAGTCACGCTGCTCTCTGATTAGTCCTGATAATCCGGCTGTTTGTTGCCTTTGATCACAACAGCTCAGGCACTGAGTTGCAGTTGACACTTCTGGCTTTACACGGTTATAAACCTCCGGTATTACTGAGGATTTGATGATCTTCAAACAAATCTTTCTACAGTCACCCTTTGTGAGCTCTAGGAGTGACGTAGACTTCCTTAACAAAGACATCGTCAGGTTTGTTGATTCCACAGTTTCCTCTTTACTCACATAGCCGCAGTTTGTCACACAAAAAAAAAACACTTTTCACTCATTTCTTTTGAGTGAAAGTGTTCTCACTGTTCTCAGTTTCCTGCAGCTACATCCTGTGTATTATTTCTGCTGATCAAATCAAAGAAACCACAAGGGTTTGTCTTCAGAATATTTATGGATATGATGTAGCTAATCATAACTTTGGTGTTTTTTGGCTGGAACTGATTTGTTTTAAGGTCACAAAGTTCAAATCACCGTTGACAGAGATTAAAAGTGTTAGTTTGTTGTGTTTCTGCTCAACATCTTGCACAATCCTGCGACAAATGTGCAGCTCTTCATTACATGTAAACACATTTTATATTTGCTTATCTACTCCTGCAGTATTTTTGTTTTACTGGCTTTATCCTTTTATTTATGTGTTTGTATGAACTTTATTCTGAGGTTGTGTGTGTTTGTTTTTGTGCGTGCAGCTTGTTCTTGCAGCTGATGATGTGGTGTAAAGATGGAGGCTCCTGAATACCTGGACCTGGATGAGATCGACTTCTCTGATGATTCAGTGGTCAGTGAGATATGAACGAGCTAACACACCGACATAACGGATTAAAGACTGTTGTGGTTTTAACTTGAATGTAGAAAACTCTCACAACATCCCCTCTATCTTCAGTCACAGCTACCGAGCCTTCAGATATGTGCAGAAACAAAGCTCAGCTGCATATTTTTGTATCCTCCCTAGTCAAGGTCAAGGTTTCTTTAATCGTCTCCCTCTGGAGAAATTTGTCTCGGATACTGGGAAATTGCTGCTCAGACAATATGCCTGAAGAAAATAAAAAAACAGGTAGTACAAATGTGTAAAACATTAGCTTGTCCCTGCTGCTAATAGTACTTTAGTGCTACTCACAATGTATACACACCAAGGTGACAAAACCACAACTACTTTGACAGGCCGTAAATATACTCGCTTAAGGCTCTTACACACCAAGTAGAAAAACACTTGAATAAAAGCTTTTCTAATAAATACTGAGCATGACCATCTTTGTGAAGGATTCAAAGTGAAAGCATCAGTTAGTGAGTGATTTAGTTCCACTCGGTAGTTTCCCCAAATGCCTCATGTTACAATCTGTGTGTAATTAGAGCAACATGACTGCTACTGCAATTACCTTAAATCTAAAAATAACGGATTTGCACACACAGCTGCTGAGCTGCTGTGTAAACGTTTTCAACATATCCGACTTCTGTCTCATCCTGCAGTATTCTGTGACGTCTTTAAAGAGCATCCCCGAGTTATCCAGGCGGAGCGATGGCCAGGCCGAGGAGAGACCAGGTAGCTACGTTTGTTATTTAATAAAACTTTACTGCACTCTTGCGTTTATTAAGAATGCTGATGTTTCTTTAAAAGTACAAAAGAAAGGTCTTAACTCAGCTGATCTCCTGTCGTCTCTCCTGCTCCTGCAGCTCCTTCCATCAACTGGAGTCGCGGCGTTTCCTCCCACAGCGGCGGGGGAATCAAACCCACCGGGATCGCTGAGGTCCACAGTAAGTTCCGGCCGGTGAAGAGGGTCTCTCCCCTCAAACACCAGCCAGAAACCACGGACTCTGACTCTGATGGTAAAGTCCAGAGTCAGGGTCTGGGGGAGCCGGGGGAGAGCAGCAAAGATGACCCGAGCTCTGACAAGGCGCCCCACGCCTCCTCTGACGCCCCCGGAGGAAAGGCTAAGGGCCTGGGCGGTGGCTCCGGCGGTGTTGTCGGAGGAAACAACCCACAGGCTCTGTTTGGGGAGCTGGAGCACTACGACCTGGACATGGACGAGATCCTGGACGTGCCTTATATCAAGTCCAGCCAGCAGATGTCCACGCTGCCTCGCGTCACCCACGACAAGCGCTCGGTGACGGGGAGCAACCTGGGAGGAGGCACCCTGGAGAGGACCAGAGGAGGGGGGCTGAAGAGCTCCTCTTTAACCCACAATGAGCCTCTGAGTCTGGGCAGCGCGAGCTCACAGACGCAGGTACACACTGAACATCTTCATCTTCCCCTCCAAACTTACACAAGTGTTGGATAATGCACAGCTTTCCTTCAAGGCTTCTTGGTCAACAATTACCGTAAAACCTGGTGAATAGGAAGTTCTTTTGATACTTATCTGCTCATCTAAAATGTTGTCTGTGTCCTATATACCGGTGCGACTAATTTACCAGTGTAAAATGCTGATAACTGAGGGTGCAGTCACCATTATCACACGTTGACGCAACCTAACATTTTATTTGAAAATTCACCTCCATTCATTGTTGCTTGCAAGCTGTGGGGAAAAGTAGCTGCCAGCTTGGTCTGTGTCACTATTCCCTTTTCCATCATTAGCTCAAAATCCTACATTTAGATAGAAAGGTGGAATGTCGTTCATAAAATAACAGATGTGGAGTACCTGACTGACTGAAAGATTCCTCGATTAAAGTCAGTGAGTGACCAGCAAAGGTGGGCAGTGTGACTCGCAGGCTGTCGGCACAGAGAGCTAACGTACTGTAACCGAAAAACACAAATGTTACTCGAAGAGTGACACGGCTGAACAGAAGTTTCACTTTGTAGACTTCACTGAGCGCAGAAGAAATCATCACACTGGAACACAGAAACCTCTTCCCCCCCCCCTCAAAAAACAAACTGCGTCTTATTTATATTCTGCATTTTATGGTAATCTTTTTAACATCAATTACATGTGATGTTGTGGTATTCAGGGTTGATAGTGCGACAACGTGGCCCGGCTTCTGCTTTGATAAGCCCTGTTTTGCAGGTAAATTACATTTTTTGCACATCAGCGCCCACGTCTTTTAAAACGAATCTTTACATTTTAGAAATACTTTTCTAAAAAATCTACTTAAGATTTTGAGTTGTAGTGTGTAAACAGTTTTATGAATTCTGGCAGACAGTAGGCGCCAAAGCGGATTTCTTGGCCCTGGAAGAAAGCCAGGCAAACACATTTAGAGAGAACAAAATAAGATAGCAGCAGCAGCAGCAGCAGTAATGGTAAACTGCATCGCTGCCAAAATAGCGACATCACCTCTCAACGATGGTGAAGGAAAGTAAAGGCTACTCATATATTTAGGGTCATACTCAAAGATCTCCTCTTGTGTAAGCTGCTGTGACGTGAAACTCTGGAGTTGACTTCATTAAATGTTGACTAAACTTGCTCAGCATGGCATCCTTAATGTTCGGGGTAGACTTTTTTAATGTCATCATCATGTAATCCCTCTGTATCCTGAAGTATTGTGTCCTGTCCCCGGTGAAGTGGTCCGACCTCAGGAAGTCCAAGTCCATGGATCCAGACCTCCACCACCTCCACCGCTCCCCAGGAGGCTACCAGTCAGACCTGCTCCCCTCTGGACTCCTCAGCTGCTCCTCCTCCCTCTCCTCTTTCTCTGATGCAGGTACGTCCTATAAAACCGTCCTTATCTCCTGTCTAGTTCACCTTCATTGTTGGTCACAAAAACAGTAAATGTGCATGTTTGACTTCCAGACAAGCTGCTGTCCGCGCGGGTTTACCCGGACTCACAGAGCCAGAGGCCGAGCGTGGAGCCATCAGGAGGACCAGGGCACATGTTCCCGCTGCCTGGATGCAGCATGGGCAGGCAGGACGCCTCAAAGACCTGGACTCCAGGGTCAGGAGGAGGAGGAGGAGGAGGAGGAGGAGGGGGGGGGGAGGCAGTGGGCCGAGGGGGTTTGGAGGAGCTGGAGGGGAGATGGACGAGGAGACAAAGAAGAATCAAAACATCATCAACATCGTCAGAGAGGGACAGATCTCGCTGCTGGTGAGTTGAAGGTCATCTATTACTTTTCAGGAGGAGGTGAAGAATGTACTATAGCAAACCACACATGATGTTTTATGCACCTCCTCCTTATCCCACCCTTTCTTTCTCCTCTCCTCTCCTCTCCTCCTCCTCTTCCTCCTCCTCCTCCTCCCCGCCTGCAGCCTCACCTGGCTGCAGATAACCTGGAGCTGATCAGAGACGAAGACGGGAACAACCTGCTGCACATCTCGGCCTGTCAGGGTCACGCTGACTGTCTGCAGCATCTCACCTCCCTGATGGGGGAGGACAGTCTGAACGAACGCAACAACCAGCAGCTCACCCCCGCTGGGCTGGGAGTCAAGGTCAGTGTGTGTTACTCAGATACCATTACAAGCATCAACATAAAAACACAATAATGAAATACACTGTAGTCTAAAAACCCAAGAAGGAGGCAAGTGTGTGGAACGGGTATAGAGAACTTAAGAAACTTAAAACAGGGTGTGTAAATGTCAGACAAACAACAGACTCAAAGGCCTTTATTCTCAAGGTAACTATAGATGTATATATTCTTGTGTGAATATATTTGCTCCTGTACATCTTAAAACGTGAAACAATATCAGATTAAAACGCTTTATCTTGTAACTAATCCGTTCATACAAAAACATACACCGCCAACAAAGCAGCGGGAGCAACTTGGGGTTAAGTGTCTTGCCCAAGGACACATTGACATGTAGCTGCAGGAGCTGGGGATTGAACCCCCGACCTTCCAGTTGAGAGACCTGTAATAGCTGGAAAGCATTCCAAATAGTTGCAAGCTATTTTGTTTTAATGGTCAAGGGGAAAAAAAATACACATCTGTAATCTTGTAAATTCAACGAGGCACTCGGTTGGCAGCTGGTCGGTGAGGTCATGATGTGTTGAGATGAAGGATTTTGATAAAATGATTTTAAACTTCTACATCAGCTCTGTCGGCAGCAGCAGCAGCAGTTTGTTAAAAATGAGTCTCGCTGAGCGCTGTGAATACTGAGCAGGTCCTGTTTTGTCTGCTCTGCTGTGAAAACCAGCCTCTTGATTGGCTGCCAGACAGGAAGTGTGTTTATCAGCAGACAAGCTGGGCAGCCGAGTCCTGATTGGCTCTTATCAGCAAGCCTCTTGTTTATTCACTCAGATTAATGGCAGGACAGACTTCCAGCCACCTGGTGCTTAATCAACATGGTGCATGTGTGTGTGTGTGTGTGTGTGTGTCTCTCTCTGTGTGGATATGTGTTACTTGTGTTGTCTGGGTTATGCTCAGGTTTAAATTGAGGTAACAGTAAATGTTCGTCATCATAATCTTTGTGTTTGTTTTTGCAGAACGGTCATCTGGAGTGTGTGAGGTGGATGGTGAGTGAGACGGAGGCCATCGCAGAGCTGAGCTGCACCCGAGAACATCCCAGTCTGATCCACTACGCTGCCCGCCATGGACAGGTACACACACACACACACACACACACACACACACACACACACACACACACACACACACACACACACACACACTCCGATCCCCATCACACACCCCCCCTTAATAAGAAGTGGATAAAAACATGTCTCTCTGTGTGTCTCTGCAGGAGAAGGTGTTGCTGTGGTTGCTTCAGTTCATGCAGGAACAGGCGATCTCTCTGGACGAAGTCGACCAGAACGGAAACACAGCGGTCCACGTGGCGGCTCAGTACGGACACCTCACCTGCATACAGGTGTGTGCTGCTTAAAAGTTACAATTACTACCAACCGTTCTGTGTGTTTCCCTGCTGGTAATCAGACCAGGAATGTCCTGCTTCAGTTCTCTTGCTCACACTTTAATTCTTGCTTAAATTTATTTGACAACCTGGAGCTCATTTTTCCTGCAGTGGAAGTTTTTAATGCTAAGTGGTGCAGCCATCTGAAGGAGGGGCGGATCTTATCAGTCCTGTCTGCTTCCTGTTGGCCAGCCAGGCCGACAATCAAAACACTGATTGTGATTTGCTTTAGATTAAAAAGCTGCATGTTCTCCACAGAGCTGAGTAAGTCTTACTAAAAAGCTTCTGTCTCTGTGTCCAGACTCTGGTGGAGTACGGCTCTAACGTGACCGTCCAGAACCAGCAGGGGGAGCGGCCGTCCCAGAGTGCTGAGCGACAGGGACACACCACCTGCGCTCGATACCTTGTCGTTGTGGAAACCTGCATGTCGTTGGCTTCGCAGGTTGTTAAACTCACCAAACAGCTCAATGAGTAAGTGACGGTAGTTTTAATCTTTTTTTATTTTTTTTTATGATGTAACAGGTTTCAGACTGAGGTGATACCTGCAGGTGGAGGTGGGTCACCTGGGGTTAATCCTGTTGTGTGTGTTGTTTGTCGTGCAGACAGGCTGCAGACAGGATCGTTCTGCAGAAACATCTGCAGAGACTGATGGACCCCAACAAGGCAGAGGGGACACCGTCCAGATCTCCCAGGTAACACACACACATGTAGGACCCCCTAACTCCTCTAGAGATATACTAGAAGCACAACTATGGCTCCCAGAAATAACCTTAGTGCTAGTGAGGTGGATTTTCTTGGAAGTCATTGTTGGTAAAACCAGAACATCCACACTTAAATTGTAAAATGAAAGTAAAAGGTAATTTCTGTTTCCTCCTCTGGACTCCAGCTCCCATCAGCCCTCAGTGGAGGCGTGGCCTGAGATGTTGCTGACAGCAGAAGGGACTCCTGGTGATGGTCAATGGTTGGTTCGACAGGCAGGGGCAGGACCAGACTCAGTGCTGCGGCAGCTGCTGGGGAAGGACATGTCGGACTCGCTGTGTTCCAGGGAGAGGCTGCCTCCAGCGGTTGGCCCTGGCCCCTGCGGCCCCGCGGCCCCTGGAGCCCGCAGGACGGTGCTGGGAGAGAGGAGGGAGCTCAAACTAGCGAGACTCAAACAGATCATGCAGCGCTCCCTGAGTGAATCCGACACAGATGGTTATCCACCAGAGGAGGGTAAAAATCAAGGAGCCTCGGCCTCCAGCACTCTGCGACCTGATAGGCCGTCTCACCTGCCAATCGCAGAGGAGGAGCCAGCATCAAGCCACCTTGACCCAATGATGAAGAACCACCTCCCCGCCTCCGCCCCGACTTCCACCACTGAGAGGAAGCTGGCATTTTCTCTCAGTGGGTCAAAGTCAGTGGACAGCATCGGTTTCAACCCGTCCCCCACCTCCAGCGACCCCGAGGCAGCAGACGCTAAAATATCGGACGTTTCAACCGACTCCCACGACGCCACCAACGGCCAGAAAGTTGCCACGAGCCCCAAGAGCGCCCTGAAGTCACCCTCATCTCGCAGGAAGACGTCTCAGAACCTTAAACTGAGAGTTACCTTCGACGAGCAGGTGCACAAGAGCTCCAATCCGGAGGCAGAGCAGACCAAAGGGCATCATGGGAAGGAAAGGACTCCGACAGGAAGCTCTGAGAGTAAGCGGTCGTTCGGGGCGTTTCGCTCCATCATGGAGACGCTGAGCGGGAACACGAACCACAACAACAACAGTGGTGCTCAGTCGGGCTCTGCTGTGAAACCGGCCACCTGTCAGAACTCACCTGGCAGGAAGTCAGAGAGTAAAGGCAGCCCAGGGGGCGGAGCCAAGGGCAAGAGCAGAACCAGTAACGTGTAAGCAACAAACCAGCAACCAATCAGTGCCTACTGAGGCCAGAGCGCTTACAACCAACTACAGGGCAACGACACAGAGCAGATCTAAGAGGCAAAGAACAGGAGAAATGTAACCTGATTGATGTGTTTCAGGTTGTAGCACTTTTTAGCTTCACACTTTTTAAAAAACAAAACATGCAGTCACCATCTCCAATGGCTGAAGTGAAATGTTCTAAAAATACACTTAAATATCCAATTAAAAAATGCTGAAAATGTAATTTAATACAGGAAAATAACTGCAGATAATTCCCTGACTACACAACAATATTTAATGTCCTGTTTCCGTCACCTTACACAAAGTAAAAGATCAAACTGTCATGGGATCTAAAGTGACATCGAGCTGGAAAAACTAACCAGCTGTTTTTACAGAGGAAACATGCAAATTCCAAATGCCTAACTTTTAACAACACACACACAGTATAGTCAAATTAACAGGATTTTCTGAAACTGAAACTTTTAACTTTTCATGCTGTCAGGAACTCGCACTTTGAGGCCCCCCGCACTCTGAGGTCGCTCTCTATTACCCATCGTTGAAGCCGTGGATCAGAATCATATAATTTCATTCTCAATCAACATTACGTTAATCTGGGAAGTCCTTTCACTATATCGGCCATGCTTTGCTCGCCGTGCGTTGCTTTTATTTAGTCTTGCAGTGCCAACTCTCTCAACAAATCTCTGGGCCCCCCAAGGGTCACACCCGAGTTTAAGGGCCCACTCACACTAGGCCCGGTTGTCCCCTCCCCATTCCGCCGCTGGCCTGCACTGTCACTGCTCCAGGACTAACCGGGCCTGAGCACGGTTACCTCCTCTTGCCAAGGAAGTGTACCGAGCTTGAGAACGGATCGGAGCACTCACATTATCGAGCTGGACTTTGAGGGTCAAACGTGCTTCGACATGGTCGGATTTCCTAGAGTGAGTGCGCCCTGAGAATTCGAGTTAGTAAATTAAACACCTCAGTACATTTTGTACACAAACTAGTCTTCACTCAACATTCACAAGACTTTTTGAAACATTAATACTTCAGAAATTCAGAATTTTTTTGACCACACCCCAAACAAAAGTTCCTCTCACTTCCGATCTTGTTTTTTTTTTTCAGAGGATTTTAAACTTTAAACGTTAACATTTCTCACGTTCTTTGCCTCAAATGTTAAATCTTTTTAAAGCTGTTGATACAGATTGAGGTCTGAGAGACATAAATAGAAGCCCTCCCAGCTTTTCTTTTATCTATCAAATGTTTCTTGGTGGATATTTAGAAACAAGAAATCACTACAAACAAAGGTAAATGAAAAGAACCTGTGTAAAATGAAGGATCAGTTTTCCTGCAGAAACTTCACATCTCAAAACTCTTTTTTCCTCACATTGATCAGATCCCTGTAAGAGGAGGTGGAAGTTGTCTGTCACTATGTTACTGTGTAAAGAATCAGTGTTAGTATTTATGTTTATGCACACTTTAATATGAGAATGTTTTAAATGTGGTTACAATCACGCACGTGTTCAACGTGCACCGGCACAACTAATACGTTTAAAACCACTTTGTGTGGAAGTATTCATTTTGTATTATTATATATTGTTTGATATGATTTTTCACTCTATGTTTTTTATCTATGCAGTATTTTTGGCATGAAGAAGTAGATGTTAGTTGTGTGATGTGTTTGAGGCGAGGAGGTTTGAGGACGCTCCGCTCACATACAAACAGGCTCCTGGTTTAAAGGTCACAATCCTCCTCCTCTTCAACCAGTTTAAATAAGTCTCAGAGCTCCCCAAAACATGTGTGTGAAGTTTCTTGTTCTAAATCCACTCTGATCCTGTATTTGATCATGTCTATAAACCCCTCTATTTCAGCCCTGCTCAGAACAGGCTGTTTCTGTGTGTCTGTACCTTTAAATATGTAAATGAGCTGTGTCTGACCACGCCCCCTCTCTGGAAGGGGATGTGGCTTGGGCTTTCTTGCACAATGCCCTAATGTTTACCGTGAGAAGGCAGACTCAGAGCGCAGAACAAACACCTAGCTGTGGGAGTGTCACCCACCTGGGGGAGGGGCTACTGCCCTTTGTGATGTCATGAAGGGATGGACTTTTCTCATCATTGGGGGGTTTGTAGACCGACTAGAGACACATATTAGTGTTAGAGGAACATGGTGAAGTGGATTTTGGATAATATGTGACCTTCAAACTTTAACAGATAAAAAGTCTCTCGAGGCTTAAAAATAGAAGAATAAGTCTGAAATCTGAAGCTCTAATCTGTCCTCACTTAGGATGAGTGTGGTATTTAAAAACACCTATGAAACATTTAAACTGAAGGTTTTAATGGCTGTTTGCTCACCCCCATTACATCATTAATTTTAATGGGTTTGAACATTTAAGCACTATCGTTTATTATAGCCTCACTAGCACCACCAAGAGGCTACAGGTGTCATTACATCCCACGATTCAACAGGGTTGGACAGCTTAGGCTCGTCGTCAGGTTCAGGAACAAGAATGGTCAAGTTCTCGTTCACAGCAGTACAAAACCACATCTGGGGATTACACCAACAACTGTATTTTAAAAAAAAAGTTGCTGTGGTTTAGTCTAGACATCCAACATCGTAACATAATGTATTTAAATATGCATCAGCGTCATAGATCTGCTGTAAGACTTACTCTTTGCCGGACATGTTGGATGGTCTGATGACTTTGAAGGAAGCTTTCGCAATCATGCTGCGTTCATACCAAAAGCAACTCGGTGCTTTACACACAAAGACAACGCAGACGTCTTTGATGCAAACTTATGTTACAGGTTCAATTGACTCAATTGTTTCAACTCAAGTGAGAAAAGTTGGTGATGCCGTGTTGAAGATCCTCCTGAATTGAAGCTCTTCATCCTGCAGACAGATGTTGACAAAGAACAGATTTTTGACTTTGTACAAATCTGCATTATATTGGAGATGTTTTGGCATCCTTTTCACCTGCTTATTTAACCAGCTAATTCTGTTAATTTTCGGCTCATACTGCTCGAGCGCTCAGGTTCCATCCGTGTAATTAAAATAAAACACTCCTCTGAGAATCTCAGTGTGTGAGCAGAGGTCAGATTACAGCCTCAGCTCTGTATCTCTTAGCATTCAGAGCAACTCGATCCTGTCCTTTGTGTTTTTTCATGCATGTTTATGTTGATTAAAATACAGATGTAGCAGAAAGTTTCTGATCCCAGCCTGTAGCGGTTCTCATCGTTCATAAACCTATTCCTGGTGTCAGCGAGGTTCTGCTGTGCAGTTCACTCATCCCGTCAACATTTCTCACTTAACCACTTCAAGGTTTACACGCTCGTGTTTGCGGGTCTGTAGGTGATGATCGGGGATACTTCAGAGGCAGTGGAGTCTTGAAAGGTTTTCCTGCTGACTTTTTAAGGAGCAGTGTCTTCCCAGCATGAGGATTTCAAATCTTTGTGTCAGTACAAATAAACTACATTGGTTAGCACAGTCTTGGGTGATCAATGTAAGACATATTTGTACGAGCCTGGTATGTTGAGCATACTCGGGTTGTTTTAAAACCACAGATTTGTGAAATGAAGTGTAACAAAACGTTCTTGGTTGGGAGTGTCCAGTGTCCAACTTTCAGTCTCTGATGCCTCTAAATATCCCTCGCTGCCAAATCAGTGTTCATTCTGTGGGTTCATAATCTGATGAGATTGTTTGTCAAAGCAGTATATTTGTGTTTTATTTGAAGTGTCTTCATGATAACCACTCTGTCCAGACCAGAGGAAGGAGCCCGTGTCGTCCTACAGAGGAAACAAAATGAACTCTCGTTGATGGACTTTGTTGCTGCATTGACTGATTTTTGTATTCTCAATGAAAAAAAAACTAAAAATGCAATATCCTTGAATGTTCGAGGAGGCAGTGAGATGTCTGAGTTCAGTGTTTTTTTTGTTTTTTTACTAACCAGCGTGTACAGAGACAGACGGCCACTCCGCTGTTTGAAGACAAACTGAAATAAACAGTTACTTTTGGCAAAAACATTTCCTGATTGTCTTTTTTCATCGAGATATCCAGATGTGTATTTAGAGACAGAAATAATATTCTAAACAAGATCTTCACGCAGTCAGTTTCATTTCCATCAGATAGATATTATCTGAATACAGTGACTTACCTGTGCTTCACGTTAAAAGACCCATTTTGCACGTTTTTCTGATCTTCACCTTTTTGGGTCCGATCGGTCTGTATCGGTACGTATCGGTTATTCTGGTACCATTCCCATCTTCTGACTGTGAATGATGCAAACACTACCAAACCAAAGTGAACCGCTTGGTGGAAACGAGGCTCATGTTTCAGTAAAGACCTCTGTCCTTAACTTCCTGATTTGTTTTTTGTTTTCAAAAAACTGCAGTTCCTCAACTGTCCACTAGAGGCTGGCTGCAGAAGAACAGGAAGTCACATACACACCCATTTTAAAAAGCCTGTTTTTGCAGAATAAATTAACATGTTTACACCCTGGTACAAAAAAAACAAACAGGTCTGATTAGCTATTGTCATTACTGGCTCACACTGTACGGGGGGTGAATATTTATAACCGGTCCGTCTGATTTTATGAAGGATAAGAGTTAAGTATAGTTGGGAGCGTAGCTGACATGACTGACAGGTGGGCGTGGTGTAACAGTTTGTCAGGAGGCTTTAAACCCGCCTCAGCTCCAGCTCTCAGCCTGTCGTTAGGTTGACTGAAAGTTAGGCTGAGACAGGATTTCCACCATGGAGACCGCCATCGATGGAACTGCAGCGCCCCCTGCAGGAACCGACGGCTGACGTCTCTCAGGCTTCGTCTGTTAATATTTACAGTCTGAGGTCTCCGGCTATCAAAGTGATGGTGCAGTTAATCTACACTTTGCTGGAGAAGAGTTGTGAAATTTAATAGTAAAAAATAATAAAATCACACGTGTGGATGTGCGGAATATATCAGTTTCCAGAGGAACTGCATATTGTCAGTTTCCATGACAACAGAGACGGTACCGTTTTCAGAAGTTTGCACTCTGGAACCCATTTTCAAAACTTTTGACTTTTTCAGCTGAACCCGCGGTGTAAGAAAACCAGAGAGAAGGTTTTCGATGAAAGAAGTGAAGTGATAAAGATTTGTAAACTTAAACGGCTGAAGTCTCCGGTCCTTTAATGTCACCCAGACCTCCTCCAGCACTGTCCGAGGCCCTCTACAGGTCCCTGGACCCCACTTTTGACCACCTCTGATCGAGATGGATGTCCTGTGTGGATTGCGCCCTCTGGTAATTTAATGGACGATACATAACAGGGTGTATATTTATTTGCGAGCGCTTCAGCGGCATCAAAAACAGTCACTTAACGGGGCAGGATTTATGGTGTTTGTGTAGCAAATTGGCCTTTGATGGTTCCCACGCAGGGCCGGCCTCTTCCCCACGGAGACTAATGGGGTTTGCTCTAATGGCGTCCCTCAATCATCGCTACGAATATGAAACATGAGCTCGCCGGACCACAATTAGCAAAACAACTCAGAGATACGAGGATGTGAAATGTGAGGAACGCAGGATTTATCAGGCATCGCATCTCGCCGGTTCATGTAGCAAAAAATGAGAGCGATTTGTTTTCTTTTTTCCCCTCCCTCTCTCTTCTTTCTCTTTTTTTTGTTGGGGGGGGGGAGTTAAACTGATAAATTAGACCTCATTTATTGGACAACAGTTTGAGTCGATACCCAGGGGCCTCTGCTCTGCAGCGGTGGACGAGACTCCAGAGCCGCTAATTGGTTTGCTCTGTTTGGATGGAGGGGGTGTTTACTAAAGGAGGGGGCGGGTGGTGTTTAAAGGGGCGGGCGGGCGGGATGGCCTGCACTGGCGCTCACACACACACACACACACACACACACACACACAGTTGCTGTTGTCTCACGGCAAACGTCCACGGCACACGCCGCGAAAACGGACGAGACAAGCGCTTGATTTGACAGCCCGGGCAGAGGGGTGGAGGCTGCTCTGTTCTGGGTTGGGGGGGATGGGGGGGATGGGGGGATGGGGGGGGGGTGGTGGCGGAGTCATGTATAGATTTTTGTGTCTGTTGTTTTGGCTTATTTGTGTGCTTCTTTTACTCAGTCAATCAAATTTAATTGACACCGCTGGGCTGGGGCTGGGGGCCCCGCGGCATGCTGGGATGACAGGCCTTTAATGCCAACGAGAGGAGAGGAGGTTCTTCTGCCGGTGAAGGATGGAGAGGGGGCGGAGGAGGTGAGAAAGGGGGAGGTGACACTTCCTGCGCCCGTCAACAGCATTAATTGATGTAACAACAGCGATGATGGATACTAATAAATACAACCTTTAAGAAAAAAGCTAATTGGACGGCGTCCTGGTCAAAGCGTTGCCACTGATAAACACCATTCGTCTTCCTCGGAGGCCTGCAGACGACACGAGGCGCCCTTCACATACTGATCAAAGTCTGCATTTGCATTTTTAGCCTAAACGGGAACGAGATGTCAAGAGCAACAAGTGCTTCAGTTTATTTTCATACAGAAGAGCCGAGCCCAGACTTCAGTGTTCTGAGAACTTCTAGAGCCGATCTTCTCTGCGTCCGTCATTCATCAGCTGGCGACTCTCCGTCAGATCTGAGAGCCTGTTTGCTAAACACAAAACACATGGTGGATTATTATTGACCTTTTGCACAACATCAGTCAGGAGTCAGAGTTAAGGGGGGCCATGAAGTCTAAACAGGATTTAACTGAATTAAAAGTTTCTCTTGGCCTCTTAGAAGTTGATGATCTGTTGAAGTGGCAGATCAGAAGACTCGAGGTCCGCTCACATTGTCTGTCCAATCT